GCTGGCTGGGGAATTCTGGGAGTTGAAGTCCACACATCTTAAACTTGCCAAGGTTGAGAAAACCTGTTCTGTGTGAAAACTGATAAAAAGAGTTATGCTACCCGACCACTGAAAGAGTTCCAGCTAGTTATTCGAAATCAATATGGAGAAAGAGATTTAGAGCAATTGACGTTTCTCGCGCAGAGACTGCAGCCCTCAACCTAGATCGAACGGCTTTCTGCCTCTTCTCGGTTCAGATGCTTGCAGGAATAATCCGTTACCTTACTCAGCAGCTTACTCTGGGGAGAGGAAGAGATTCCCAAGAAAAAAATGAGGGAAAAGTGTTGCAAAAAACAGAAGAGAAAGAGAGAGAATTGCCCTCCGCAGTATTAGCGCTGGCCTATTTCTCGCGGTGTCCTCCCAATGCCGGAGCCAAAAACAAGCCAGCTGCATTTTAGGCTGGCCTAATTTGTGAACTCAGCCCATGGGCTTAGTCAGATGGTTTAGGTGGTACAAACCAGAAATTGAGTTACTTGAGCGAAGCATGCATGGATCAGCGCAGCAAAAGTTACTCTTTGCTTCAGCCGTTCTCCGTGAATCCATACGCAGGAAGAATATTCATTTCTATGCCTTCAACCGTTTTCATCCACCCAGACACACCTTTAAACTTAGGAACTGTTGCCTATCGGTGCTTCTGGAGTGTTAATCACTGTAAAAGGGTCAAACTTCAGACCAGGCACAGCCGTCAGTCTCAGCACTTTAGAAATTCAAGCCGGCATTCAGGAACAAGAGAAGAGCAGAATCTTTGTAGACTTGACCCAGCTAAAGAGGTTGCTGTATTGCAGAGAAAAAAAACTTTTTTAGCAATTTTCTACTATGAAATGTATAGTAAACTTAAAATTAAAACTTGAAATTAGAAATGTATAATAAACTTTAAAACTTAAAATTAAAAATGTAGAGTAAACTTTAAAATTAAAAAGTTATAGTAAACTTTAAATTAAAAATTTATAGTAAAATTTAAGTTAAAAATTTAAGTTAAAAATTTATAGTAAACTTTAAACACTTTCAGAAATTGCTTCTTAACTGCTTTTCAGCTGTTAGGAATCTTTGGATCGACCAGTTTTACAGCACTGGCTGAGTTTCCTTCAATCCTTAGCGAAAGAAATTTTAAATGTTAGATTTTTTATCCTGCCTTTATTATTTTATAAATAACTCAAGGCGGCGAACATATATAATACTCCTTCCTCCTCCTTTTTTTCCCCACAATAACAACCCTGTGTTGGGCTGAGAGTGAGTGACTGGCCCAAAATCACCCAGCTGGCAAATACAAGTTTAAGGATTTAATTTTTTTTTTCTTTTGGAATCAAGAGCAAAAGGGGGATTAGAACATTGATTTTGGAAAGTTACAAATGGACTAAGGGTCCAGATGGATTTGAAATAAGATTTTGGAATGAATTATAAGAATCCTTCCTGGAGGAAAATGCTTTTGTTTGGAATTCTCTTAAAAAATAAAACATGATAGGATGAGACTTTGAAGGTTGGACAGACAAAAATGAAGATATCCAAAGCCCCCAGATTCTGCCGTAGAATGTGGAAATTCTGTATCTATCAGCCCCAGGGCTTAATCTTAATCATCTTCCTCCTATCTACTTGAGTCAATGGACATTCTTTTCCCACTCTTCCATGTTTCTACAACCATTCAGTCTGACCTCTGCAGGTTCTCTCCTTGGCCACTTTCAGCTTACAAAAAAAGGTCTCTGTTCCTAAAAGATGTGGTTAACTGGAATTTAACTGAGTTTTGGCCATCAAGCAGTGCCACTGAAGGCATCTGGAGGAGTTGAAGAGGACTTGAGTTCGATTTTGAATTGCATTTGAAGAAAACGGGGGGGGGGGGACCTCATTTTGGGGGGCATCATCCCAGGGGGGATTTTAAAAAAAAACCACCAGAGGTAAGAGGAGGAGAAGGCTGAAAACATGGGTTAATTGATCAAGATTGAGTGGGTTTGTCTG